TCATTGTACACACGAATGCCTGTAAGTCTACCTTAATATGTCAAATTTCCTTTAATAATTTTGATTTAATAGTCTTAGTGAATTAAGGTTTGAAATCAACTGGAGAAATTTGACAGATTTATATAACCTGACATTTTGTTGACTGTAATTGCCTAAAGCTTTACACGAGCTTAATGAGTCTATATCGAATGTCGGATAAAAAATATTTTGTGTTGTTGATCTTTCTTGATATATTTTCTTTTATACTCGTATATATCCTGTCTTTTTCGAAATAGAACGCAGTTGTCAATTTATAACAAAGATAATAAACCAGGCTAATAAACTCGGTTTTATTTTCAATTATAAGAATATGTGATGTGTATTTTTTCAATGGCCAAAACCGGTTCATCTGTCTGAGAAACTAGAATAAATTTAGGTTCAGTCCTGTCACACTGTGTTTACGATTGGAAAAAGTATATTATAACTTCAGATAATCATGCCATATTAAACCATAATCAGATATATTTACCCCAAATAGTCTTATGAAAAAAAGGAAAATCGTATAATTATTCATATTTCAATAAACATTACCGGTTGTAATCGCAACAAAGACATTGATGCTTAGATTATTGAAATGTGACGTTACACGATGCCCTGTTATGTCAATTCCCGTTTTGTTTCTTGGAATTCACAGACTATAAATCAAAAGTAATTATGGAAAAATAAGATATATTTTTATAAACAAAAATTCTACACGTTTACTTAATAGTTACCATTTCCAACATATTTATTGTTAAAATTATTTAGTTACGTAACGGTTCCGTATGACTATAGAATAATGTTAAAATAACTCGATTTTTTTATTTTCGTTAATTTTATTTAAAGAGTGACAACTCAGAATTAGTATCCGGAACTGTGACCGATATAACTTGCTGCAGCTTCTTTTTCCATCAGTCCAATAAAAAACTCTACAAGACTCCAAAGCAACCGTTTTCACTCAACTCTACATTTAATTTTGAATATACGTTTTTTACAGAAGTTCCCGCTAGGGGCTCTGTACTAAACTATGTACAGTAAACAGCACCTCAGGTTATACAAATCTGTCAAAATTCTCACACCTTAAACTTCCAATACATAGAATGTAGAGCTTAAAACTCATTGCAGAAATTTTACATGTTGTGGAAACATGGCGAGCAGCCGGTTTACCTACATACTGCATCTCAGGTGCACGGTTCGTCCCGTGGTGCCATTTCTGAGGTCTCCAGATTCGTTACCCGGTAGTATCGACGAGAAAGTGAAATTATAAATTACTTTACCGTGTAGTAGTTGATTTCTCTTAGGTGTGTCTTGACACATTGCGATGTTTTTAGCTATTTAGTTTGAACCTGGCAAGGTAATGTCCGTTCAATATTTATTTAAAAAAAAATTAAAGTTTTGTTGTAAGAATGGCGTTTGGATATGATGATTCTGTTATGAGTCACAGAAAATAATTAAATGTAAGCAGAGTTTTAATTAAATAATATTAGTAATATGAACGTACAGGGTTGATAGAACATTGAACAAAATACACTGATATAATGATATATTATTAGTTTTAGATATAAACTATATATATGCCAAGAAGTACTCTTATTTTACAGATTCAGGGTAAAACCGGGCTGTATAATTAGTATTCCATTCGACAGATTCATAACAAAATAGATAAATGTTTAAGCTTAATGAAAAAAAATACTGGTTAAAAGAGACAGAATAGAAATTCATTACCCTTTCAGATAAAGAAGAAAACCCAGGACCAATAAATAAAGGGCTAGGGCCCCGTGTCAATGTGGAGACTCCGACAGGAATCGTAATTTTTTCCTGGATATAAAGTTCTTTGTCATTGTTAAGTATGTAGCATACCATGTAATCGGTAAAATAAATGTAACAAACTAATTGAAATTTGCACATTGTATAGTTTAGATACATTGTTTTAGTTACACTATTAAGGCCTTACTAATAACTAATGTGTAAGCGTTGTATAGTTAGGTACACAGTATTTTGTCTTTTTCTCTCAAACTAAAAGTCACATTGACATGATGTGAACAGAGCTATGTGTAACTAAATTACCGGAACAAGTGTTTTATTAGAAACGGTATTAATATTTAACTCTATATTGTGTTATATTTTGTTATACCTGGAGCTACTCCGTGCTTCGGAAAGCTTGTTAAGTTGTTGTCTCAGTTGCATCTGTAGTGGGAACATTCACAAATCCGCACTGGATCCGTGGTAGGTCTTGGTCTATTATCAATGATATAATACCTTTATTTTGTAGATGGGATGTACCATTAAATAAATTACTATCTCCTTAGCTCTTCTTTGTATGTAAAATAAGTTCCAAATTCCTGGTTCGGTCAATGATGCCAATTCTGTTGTATCACTCTTTAAAACTACAACCTAAACCAAGAAACTACTTTTAATTATGGTTTCTTTAAACGTTATTGCGTAGAGACACGTAATCAATGAAATATTTATAGAATTGAAAATGCAATTTAACATAATTAAAACTAAATTATTGTCTAATTAGTGCAACATAATTTCCACCGATGTGTAATGTAAGTTTATAAGAACGATGACAAATTTTTATAAGTCTGTTTTTCGGGTAGACTATTATAGAATGTTACAGCGTCGGCATAATCAATAAATTAGGGCGATTCATTATGTAGAAATGCCGCATGACGTCACACCTTTGTACATTTTCTACATAGTTGTGATGTAACGAGTCCCCACTCTTCAACTTTAAAACCTATTATCTAAGCCATTTCTTGTTAAATTGAAGCAAAAAAATACGTGTCTAATATTTCTTTATTATCTGACTGAAGAACTAAATAGAATTTCTTTTTGTTTTACAAAAATATCATTATTATTGTCTTGTTAGAAGAGCAGTTGCTCGACTAGTGTAAGGTAACAGGTTCGAATTTTATCGCTGAACCTTGAAAATACAGAATATATATCGGTATTAGTATAACTCTGTTTCAGTTCCGAGGAGTAGTGCCTATTATTGTATGTAGTGAAGCACATTTTAGAAGTAAAGCTGAATTTGTTAAGTATGTGTTACTGTCACACATCTTTAAACATCCAAATTATCTACGCTAGACGACATCGAGTAAGTAAGTACTCTTTTGCGTGTAGGTGTATGACCAGAAAATATTACAAATATCCCAGCTTCATCTAGAACGCTCTTAGCACCTTTACATGTGTTATGGGACCCTGGAAGTTCTCCGGGGAGCCAATGTATCTTGCTCGGTATTTGGTCACTCCGTAGCATTTCAACAAGACATGGGTAACTATTTTTTTAGCATCTGCATACACGGTTGTCGAAGACACCTAAATTAAGAATATGCTTTTTGAAATTATCATGACCAGGGTTAACACCTGCCTTCAGGGGAACCAATTTAGGAGGAGCTTACCTTGTTAAAGAAGAGCTTTGGAGAAGGGTAGTACAAGGTTAGCCTACCTGCAATTGGCCAACACTGCTATCGTTTACATTATGCCATGACACTATCTACTTGAAGTCCAATAATATTATACAACGTGAAACAGAAATAACGCACATCCGTATACGCCCCAATTAGAAAATGCATTTATAATCATAAAACGAAAATTTTAATTTTACTTTTAAGTACTAAAACGTTGTTTATGTATGGACACAGTTATACTAATTGCTGGGTAACAGAGTGGACATCTTACAAATCCACACAATGACGTCAAAAAACGGCTTAGCCTGCAACTACAAATGTATGCATACATTATTATGATTCGGGATTCAAAGTGTTTTTTTTTTCTTAATGTTTAGATAACAATTATGATTCTTACTTGTAATGAGTATCGGCTAGCATAGACTTGCGATTGCATATTACAGCGCGAGCACAATATCGCCACATTGTGCCTTACCCTTAAGCATTTCGATGTATTTACTCTACGTTAGCAGCTCGGTGGCGTAGTGGTTAAGCGCCGCGGCCTGCGATCGTTGTCGTTAAGCAACTTTCGCAGGGGTCGGTCACGGGATGGGTGACCAAAAAATTATTATCTCGAGCTACTCCGTGCTTCGGAAGGCACGTTAAGCCGTTGGCCCCGGCTGCATTTGCAGTCGTTAATACCCTTCAATCCGCATTAGGCCAGCGTGGAGGGTCATGGCCCATCCTCCTTAACCATCCATAAGGAAGGCCTGAGCCCCTGCAATGGGGACATAAAAAGGGCTGATGAATGAAAAAAAAACTCTACGTTAGTATAACGAAAAACCATCGCATGTGAAAATAAACTCTAATTGCGATATAATAATCATCCACTGCCACTGTCGTGTTTGTCACTATATGATGTTTATTTGTGGTATATTATTTTACTCTTTGTTTATAAATTATTTTACTCTTTGGTTTAGGAACTTCTTTTAAGTACCTTCAGTCTAAAATTACAAGCACTTTAGAAGATACATTAAAAGAAAGCTCATTTTTCTTTCCCTTTTTTCCTATGTTATATTTTATTGCATGCTATGAATATAGTGCATTTTAAAAAGCCTTATTACATTAACTTAAGTTTATGTTTTGTTTGTGACGGCTGTAATGGTTACAGGTGACCATAATTTACTCGATACCAATTAAATTTAGCAAAAATAAATTACCAATATTAAAGCTTGCTGAAATCGAATCAATATCTGATTTTAAACAGCCTTCTTTCAGGATACTCATACTTTTTAATGCCTTGAATTTCTCATTGTAACATTAATACTGTTGCCGACGACGACGACAGTAAAACCTCTTTATATAGTTTTTGTATACTTTTTATACTTTTAATATTTTCTTTTGTATTTGGATTTATTATGTAAATATATAGAAGAAATATCGAAATCCAAGGCCTTTTATTTTAGAATTATTATCAAATAGTATGAATTTGAAAATTACATGAAATAACCTCAATACCCGGAACTAGAAACAAATTACTATTTAATCCAACGGGAGTCGAACCCAAGAGCATACAAGCTGTGTATAAATTCCCATTTCTTACTGCACAGTTTCCCCTTTGGATGATGGGCCGGAATTTACGAGTATATTTTGATGTAGTCTATTCACAAATTATCTGTATGATTTTCATCAAAATAATTTACTAAAATAAAATAATTGAATGGCTATCAACAAAGGAATAACTGATGAAATAATAAGAAAAGTTTCAATTTTAAATTTATTTTTATTTAATCATCTCTTAGCTTAAGACAGGAAACATTTATAAAATAGCAGCTAATCACAATAATAAAATTATGATAAAATTTACAAAACGCATCTTAACTTCGTTACTTCAATGTAAACCTTGCCTTTTTGTTAATACAGATAGATATTGCTTGTTCGATTATATAATATTTAAAAAAAATCGCCAACTTTATCATTGGCAAAGGAAACAACCGCATAGGAAAACATAAGTTACAAAATCTAATGTTAAAAACAAAAACAAACTTAAATACATTTCAAAACAGTCTCAAATGCAATGATGATATACGTTCCAAAATTAAATTTGTCATAATGTCTCTGAATAGCCTAATAGGTTAAGATAAAAATAAGAAAATTCCTTTTTTGAAAAATATAAAGTAAAAGTATATATTTCAAAAGTTTAATGTGATCAGTTCAAAATTCGAATATTTAGGTTTCCTTGATTTTTAGGGGATTGTACTTTTGATTTATTTTTAATTCCTATTGCTATGTAATTATTGCTTCTGAGTATTGATAAATAACTGTAGTATTGACCTTCGGTGGACGCTAATGTATTTCCCTTTGAGAGTTAAGATTCGATCGCTATTCATCTCCCTCATTACTAGCGAGTGCGAGCGAGATATGAGAACTTCGCGTGCTGATCCAATAATCTGATAGTCTTCAATATTCTGTTCTTTTTATGTCGAGTGCAAATTAGTACTTTATTAGTTAAAAATAACTATAAGGAAGTTCTAACTACAATATGGTAATGTAATTTGCGTTATTCAAATTTTGATTAAGATTTGTACTTTATAGATTTACCAATGTGTGCATTGTAGTAAGATTTTACAATAATTGCTCGCACCGCCATATACCTAAATCGATCTAATTTTAAACGATGACCGAATAACGTTATGAATAAACTATTTATTTTTAGAAATAACCCGAAGCGTTACTGTTAGTACTCTCGTCGGTATTATAAATTAGTTTCTTTACCAGTTTAAGAAACTGTATTTGTCAAAGGATGATTTCCAACCGTTGTATTAATTAAAGAAATAGTGAATTATAGCGTTTCGTTCGCTCCAGATTCTCGCATAATTAAAATTAGAGGTTTGGTAAGAAATAATTTATTTATACACTATATAAATCTCACAAACTCCGACATCATGGAAGCCAAGATTGAAATTAAAAATACATTTGCCATGATACAATTTTGGTCACTCATGTGCTCTTATTATTTCTCTTAACAATATATTAATTTACAATTAGGTTTTTGAACGTGGCGTGTTTCATATGAAAAGAAAAAAAACTACATACTTACAATTACATTATGTGCGTTATTTTATCGTTTGTAAAATACATTTTTGGTTGTATTTCGATATAACAACTATTGAATTAGAACACGTTTTTACGCATTCATCTCTGACTTAGTAATGGTCTCTTACAGCTCAACAATAGCTGTTTCTGAGTATAATTATAATACGTACAAGCTTCTAACATTTAAAATTTTATAATACATAATGATTGTCAACAATACATACAAACGAAAATCATATAAAAACAAATCTCGACGTTCAATAGACGACAAATCTACTAAATGCGACTACAGTCGATTAAACGACTACAATATCCGGTTATATCCGTATAAAATGGCCAATAGAGGTTGAAATCAACTTTTTCAAATTCGAAGCTTTTTTTTATACATCGCAATCCAAACAAGATTGGGGAAACTAGCACAAATACGACACACAGGCTAGGCTAATATCACAGGAGTGCTGGGAACGGCGCGGAGTTTCCCCCTCTCCCTGGGCGGCCCCCGCCCTATTCTCCCCCCACTACCACGACCGCGCCCCTCCACGTACCTATTTACTATTCAGAGAGGGCGAAACGGGCTACTACCAATATATTTCGCGACAATTAAGATTTCAAAAGAACTTTTGTTTTCACAAATTGCACAACAATTAAATAATTGCACTGCTAGATCCTTTTTTTACTTAACAAAATTAAATAAAATTGGACGTAAAACTAAAAGTTTAACCAATCATACTATTTAATTTTAATGGTAACACAAAATACATAATTGATCAGGTAACAAATTCTTTAAAAAACATATTATATATAAAAAAAATATGAAAGATAAGATGTAACGAAACTCAAAAGTCAGACTTTTAATAAAATGCATGACCGGCCATTCGCGTTGGCGGTCGAATGTTGGCCAATGTCGATGACGCTCACGCACACACACTTTCCTGTACACGTCAGAGCAGAGCACACGTCGCTAACTCTACTGTATTATTTCCATTTGAACTTCGCTCACAAAAAAATTTCATGATTGTCTCATTTCTTATTGACGTTATAGCAGTAAATTGTAAGTATTTAATTAGTTACTAATTTAGAGTCTCGTAATTTCACCGAGAACTCGTGTCGGCTAGAATGGATTCAAAATACGAAACGAGTGGCCCACTCCGCGTATTACGTACTGACATCGAATCATGAATACTCTCATATTGCTCACTATGTCCACGCTACCGTTCCCAGTCGTTTTGCACTATCTCTTAAAATCACTATCATTTATTTACTTATAATAATGTAACATTTTAATTGTAGCTTAACAACTAATCATTCAATAAAAACGATAAACGTCCTTAATTCTCGCTCTCCGCGTCACACGACGCGATAACCAAGTGTGTCCTCCGTTCGGTAAAAATAATCGTTGAACACTAATTGGACCGCGCCCGTCGGCAGCGCCTGAGCAACTTTCACTAAATAATAAAAACACGCTAACAAAGTAAGTACTCTTCTTAGACAACAAAGTATTTGCTAATCATCCATTCCGGGTAAGGATGGGTCACCGCCGAAGACCATGCGAGCGGGGTCGCGGGCTCGGGGCGAATGAGATAACTCTGAAGCACAAAATTCTAGCATCACAGCGGAGCTGGTAGGGGGGCGGCGCGACGCGGTCATGAGTCCAACACTGTCAACAGCCCGGGAGGCAACAGAGGCACGTCCTGTCGCGGCATCTGCCTCGCTAGCTGTGCGCATCCGAGGTTAGCGTCACCCAACTCGGGGATGGCATCCAATAGAGCTAAACATTCGTCCTCCACAGCACGCCGGGCCTTTTTACCGACCCATGACGAATCATCGCATTCTTCCCGCGCCCGGCGTCGCCTCGCCTCCTTTTCTTTCCTTGCCTCTTCACTCAACCGACAATATGTGTTATTGATGCAAACGGAACGGCGCAAATCTCTCGCGGGGTCCTCTATGTTCTCCAATTTTTGTGAACAGATCTCGATGACCCTCTTGCGCTCCTCGTTAGCGCGCAGCCTCGCAGAAATCATCGAGAGTTTGGGCCGTGCGGCGGGTTCCGTACGGGGCGGTCCAAACATGTCGTCCTCGAACGCGTCTGCAATCTCCGCACCGCGCGCGCTCTCTCGTTCTTCTTGTGGCGTCATTCTGTAACAAATAGAGGCACAAGTTAGCACACTGCGGAATATTACACGTCATTGAATGTAAACAACGGAACTCTAGAAACAATAATATTATTCGCATCCGTCTACTATGTCTTCAAATTCCCCAACAATAATCCGGTTATACCCATAAAATGTTTTATTACTAATCCGGAATTCCTTAAATATCATTTGTATAAACATAAAGAAGTATCGGAGAACGTGAACCGTTCAAGGAGAAACCATAATTATTTATTTCACAATCGCGAGTACTGGGTCAATAAAGAACAATGCATCGACGCCTGTACGCGCCAATCAGGTCCACAACTTGTCACAATCAGTGCCACTCGCATTAGCTCTAAAAGAGAGTTGACAAAGAAATTATATCGAACACAAATCGTCTGCATATTTAAAACCCACCTTAAAGAAAAGTCGGGCGATATGATGAAAAATCCTGACATCAACATCGTAGAGGCCTCGTTTTATATAAAATGTGTCACTCAATGTCACAAAGAGTTCAAAACACTGACAAAATGCGGCCGCGCAATTCGCTCGTATGCCCTCGACAACAAAAGTAATAAAGTAGAAATGAAACAAAGATATGCGCGTGAGTGCGACGTGCGCGCAGAGCGGCGTTCACTGGCCGAATGACAACATACCTCGCTGTAGATAAGACATTGAAAAAGCCAATTGCGTCACTTGTGTACGGCTACGTACGTGCCGAGAGGAAGCGGGTGACGTACGGTGGACCGTCATTTTGGACCGACTAGTCTACTAGTTGACTTAATTTCCTCGTTACACAAAAGCTCGGTGCAATCGTGTACAAATATGGTTATAACGCCATCAAAAGATCAAAATCTGTGTACTTTACATTTAAATGACCATTTCACCGATAATTTCTACAATATCATCAATGTTATACTATAAATTTATCAATGTCTAAATTTACAATCTAGCAAATCCATCTAAAAATAAAATCATCAATAGAATGCTGTTACATTTTCACTAATTTGAAAAGCTCTACCTTCAAATAAGTTTGCTTTACTAAGTTGCACTTCTCGACGTTAAACCAATTTTATTTCAATATCATAATATTCCCTATAATCAAGGTCATGTATACATACTAAACCAATAATAATAACAGGTAGAATAAAGATGCTGAGCGCCAAGGTCATACAAAATAACAAATTGATTTTATATATAATTTTCTTTGACGGAATGGAGAATAAAGTTCCTTTGCAGAACAAGAGCAATATTAAGTACACTCAAGGTCTAACAGTGCCTCTTCGACCTTTGCTATGATTTCTTCACAAGTAAGCAACATTTTTTTTTATGTTACGTAAGTTTCTTTCAATAAAACATTACAGAAAACTTACGCTTTACAAAATTATGTTTTTAAAATTGTATCACCACGCCTAATTGTACGCAATAAGTACGCTTCTTGTGTTTCATATGAAGTTAATTATGATCTGCGACGTTAAATTATTATCGAAAACATGTGACCTACATGCTACTTTTGTTTGGTTAGAGTTTGGCAAGCGAAACGTGACACCACCTATTTTTCCGTTTTCATATGGCAACAACATAGAACTGTCAGTTTGACACTACGTTAGACAATTCAAGAATATTGAATTTTGTTGTTTTTGCGAATTTGAACTTGTGTTTTTGGTTAAAAATTATGTCGAAGCCGATAAAAAGTTCATCGAGGAAACTTCTTTCCATCATGATTGACAAGTTTACTGAAGTGAAAACTGAATTAAATAAAAATTTCATGGAGAAATTACAACGATTAGATAAAGTTGTATCTTTTTTAGGTTAGTTTTGTATTATAATTTTGATACTTTCGTTTTAATTTTCTGTAATTAACTAAACAGATATTTTTTATAAAATATTGCTCTATTTCAGATAACTGTGATGGTGATATTCAACCAATAATGGAGGAGATAAATGCAATAAAAACTTTAGAAAAACAAGAAATGCTGAATTCGGAAACGCAGTACTTACAAAAAATTTCTTCAATGACAGGTCTCTTTTCTTGTTTTGATTTAAGATAGATTGATAGTATTCCTATAATATTTACATAGGTTTTTTATGATGTATTGGTTTTTATTGTTGACATCCAATGATGTCATAAGAATGTTTTGTTTAACAAGGAAATTCACAGAATTCATGAAACTAATCAAACCATGTAATTGTTATACATGCTAAATATGCACATAAACTTAACTAAATTAAACATAAATTGCATTCATAGTTGAATAGGTATTTAAATTATTTTGATGTATGTGTCTATCATTATTTGCTTTTAAATACATTTAACATATCTTTGTTTCAAAGTGTTTAATCTTTTATAGATGTAAGTATAAGGACACTAAGAAGGATAAAAAATGAAGCATTAATTAATAAAGGAAAATGGGACACTCCTGGGAAAAAACGACCTCATCAACCAACAGTGTCTGCTTTAGATAATTTTGATTTAAGTGCAATTCGGAATAAAGTAAATGAATTTTACTGTGTGAAAAAAATTGTTCCAACATTAAGAAGCCTTCACAATGAATTAAAAGATGCAATAGGATTCAGTGGTAGCCGTGAGACTTTACGAAAAATTATGCTTAAGAATGGATTTTCTTTTAAAAGCAATGAAAATGAACGTTCTATGCTTATAGAAAAATACCAGATTTCTGCATGGAGGCACAAGTATTTGAGAGAAATAAATATAAAACGAAACGAAGGAAAGCAAATTGTGTACCTTGATGAAACTTATGTACATCAGAATTATAAAGTTAAAAAGTCTTGGCAAGGACCTTCAACAACTGGTGTCACTACAAAGATATCCTCTGGAAAACGGCATATTGTTGTGCATGCTGGATCTGAGGAAGGTTTTGTGCCTGGTGCATTATTAGTGTTCAGTAGTAAATCCAAATCTGCTGATTATCATGATGATATGAACTCATCGAACTTTATGAAATGGGTCAGAGAAAAATTAATACCAAATTTAAGTAAGCCCAGTGTAATTGTTATGGATAATGCCAGCTACCATATAAAACAAATCAATAAACCGCCTATAATGTCTAATACCAAAGCAGATATCCGTAAATGGCTTGTAAATAATGGAATACATTTTGAGGAATATCAGACAAAGGCAGAGTTAATGTGTTTGGTTAATGATAAGAAAACATTGCCTGTATATGAAGCTGAAGAGATTTTAAAAGAACATAATCATGAACTTTTATTGCTGCCACCGTATCATTGTGACTTAAACCCAATAGAGATGGTTTGGAGTCAAGCAAAAAGAAAAATTGCAAGCAGAAACATTGGAATACCAGGAAAGGAAATGGAAAACTTAATAATAGAGTGTTTTAACTTAATTACCCCTAGTGACTGGAAGAAATACACTGATCATGTTTTAAATGTCGAAAATGATTACAAATTAAAAGATGGCATTGTTGAAAACGAACTTGAAAAATTTATTATATCTGTTGGTGCAGACAGTAGTGAAGAGAGTGACTCTGATGATTCCTTGTCATTGTTATCAGGTGTAGAATATTTAGAAACAGATTTTGACTATGAATCAGACTAAAGTATTTTTAGTCTGATTCATAGTCAAAATCTTATCTTAAATTTTCTATTGTGATTAACATGATGATTTTGTGACACCTGTATTATGTAATTTATCCATGGCACTTAATTGTAACAAAAATAAATGTTTTTTTTATTGTAATCTGGTGTTTATATTGACTAATTTAATTTGATAGATAGTGGTTCTGGATCAGAGCAAAAGGTTGTGATGAAAATCCCTTAGGAGACATGTATGTGTTATGAACACATTATAAATATAAGGGCCAGAAATCAAAATTGGCTAACATCACATTTATTAAAAAAATGTGGCCAGAGTCGCCCATATTCATTACAAAAAAACAAAGAAGTCGTTGCAAAAAACACCCTTTTAATTAATGACAAATATGAATTTTTAATATTATAAGTGCTGTTAGCCAATAGGTATAACGAATGGGTTAAAAAAAAGATTCGATTTAGTCCGTCAGTCAGATAATAGAAAAATATTGGATACGTATTTTTTTTTCGCTTTAATTTAACAACAAATGGCTTAAGAGGTACTATGCGACGACTTCAAATATGCTTTGCAACAATGTTACTTTAATACAGTTTATCGATACGAAATCAAGTGTCAAAATGGAGTCCAGTGGAGAATGCCGATATTGACATTTCGAAATTGCTCATCATTGATAGAGAATACGAAATAGTGATTTTGACACAATCAAAGTGTCTATTTTTTACGGTGATGACGATTCTTGGTTGTCAGTTGAGTTAGTGAATAGGCCTACTGATATGCTGTTAACTGTACAATTAAGAACAGTCACGCTTTAGTCAAATGTTCCAAAACAAATAATTTTAATTGATATCTAAATGTTAAGATTAAATATAATTAATAAAAGTATCAAAATTATTTTGCAGTACTACATTCAGTGTTTACTGCTTAAGAATTTTTGAAATTGCCGCCCTTTTCTTGTGACACGTTTCGCTTGCCAGACTCTAATTACTGGTTTTGTTTATTTTATTTTATATATAATATGGCAGGCACGGTTTGTGCATTTTGGCAATGTCAAGTTAAATGCTTATTAGATTCTTATGTTGTCAGGGTAACGAAAAATTATGATATGACCAATAAAAACTTTTTTGGTGAAAAACTTTGAAATAAAAAAATAAGTAAATAAAATACTTTTCGGTCAGATACAGTAAACGCCGCCATTTTGGAATAAAACCATAGACTCCTTCAATTATGTTAATCCAAGTCATGATATGTGTTGAACTCAAGTTGGGTCATGTTTTTTTTTTCGAGCGCGCGACGACAGTGCTCGGGTGTTGCCGACCCCACCAGTTACGATCTAATAAATCTTGCTCGCCCTGCCTACCTGCACTTTCTTTTCTCTGTCTCGCAACGCAAGCTGCCTTGAACCGCGGATGTTCCGCTGTCAAATGTTTGTGACATATTTGTGAGATATCGTTCCTTTTTAAGAAAAAAAAAATTGTCCGAAATTTTTGAGAATAAAAAACAAATACCTATGTTCATTAATAAGTAAATAAATAAGGTCACATTTGCTGGTTAGGAGATCTCCTTAGTTTACTCAAAAATATCAACTTTCTTCTATCGAGCTAATATCAAGCTTTATTTGTTTTATTTTACATTTCCTGATGATTTGTCCTGTGTATATTATAAATAAAATATTATAATATAAAAGTTGAATTAATTTTAATTTCTCCAAAGGTTTTGCGGTCATTCAATAGCTACAGCATTTTAAATTTGTGAATACAAAACCTAATCACATTAAGAACGTAACAACAACTAAGCCCTTTCACTTTTTCTCTTTAAACGTGTTCTCCATCATGCCCTTAATAACTAACAATGGTTATTTTTAATATTGTCGATGAAAATTCTAGAAACAAAATTTCAAAAGTAGCCACATATTGTAGATAAAATCACAGATATTATATTATGACACTTAATGCCATATATTTACATTTAATTAAACAATAAAATATATTTTAAAAGTGCTAAATTCTTGCAAATCTGTATTTTCTGATATTATTATATACATTTTGGGCATCGCAACTTTGAAGCACATAATTTATATGATTAAAACATTGAATATCAAATAGGATTTCTGTATTGAAAAAATATTCCATTTAGATGTTTCTTTTTTGCCAACAAATAGTAATATATTTAACTGATTAATCGAATGTATAATAATAG